GACTTTTGGAAGACCGTATCGTTCTCAGACGAATCAAGATTCGCTCAATTTTTGGACAGTGGAAGGATATGGGTCTGGAGAATGCCTCACCAAGAGTTTTGTCTCAACATATTGCAGCCAACTGTGAAGGAAGCATGGTGGTTTCAGCGTGATGGTTTGGGGAGATGTTTTGGTTGGTGGGAGATCGAGCTTAGTGGAGTTAATTAAATCATCAATATATCAATTCATGTGAATATAACTGAAAATTTTCATTTTTTCTGAAAAGGTGGTGTCTATTTACTTGTGACCATACTGTGTATTATAAATGAAATGTGACTGTATTTTACAAAATACTAGTCCACTAAAACACAGCCAAGACAGGTCACTTTTATATTATTGGATACGGTAACATGAGTGCACATGCATTGCGTCATTGTAACTTCTGTAGTGTTAGCTAAGTGTAGCTGAAATGTCAATATAATAAAAATAAGATCAAATCTACCGAACCCATACAGAGATTCAATAGTGAAAATAACAGATAAAATATAAAGTTTTTCTTAAAAAATGTTTGATAATTATCTGGAGGTTATAAAGATTTCACATGTGAAATTGGAAAACTTTCTGAAGCAAAAAGTATCTTAATATCAAAATGGAAATTACTTTGCATGTTGGATAGGCAACATGTAAAACAGAAAAAAAGGCATTACTTAAAAAACCTTAAGACTTAATAAAAAACAACAACATATTTTGTGTACAAAAGTCTTATAATTCGATGACGAGGAACCCACTTTGAGACTAATAATGGCTGGAGACGGCTTGAATGGGTAATGAAGAAAAACTTTAATACATGTTTAACATAACAGCAAATGTACAACGTTTCGACAAGGTTTTGGCATCATCAGGTAGTCTTATAATATTTACTGATAATCTGCCAAATTTCGTGAACATATGCTTACTAATTTAAAAGTTATAGCATGAAAACCGTAACAAACACAAAATGGTTACAAGGTCGGTCACAGGGACTGAACTTGTGCTGAAAGTTGCTTACCAATCCATAAATGATTAAAGAATAAAAGCAGACTCGACTACTTCTATACCTTGCAAAACTTTTCTCACTGACAAACATGCTGTTTTAACTTCACTGAGCAAAAACACATGGCTTAAATTAGTCTCATTATTAAAAACACCTAAACAACATTTTGCGTGTTAGATTATTTAGACCACTTGGATCTTTCTGGCTGAAATATTATAATTACTTTAGAACTGTGCTGCAACTGGTTGAGAACCTGTCCAAAGGGAAATCTATCAATGATGCACTGAAATATTTTATATACAGAATTATTGTAAAGTGATTAAAATTTAAGTGTTACTATTAGTGAAAGTGATGAGTTTTAGTGCAATAACCAAGAAGTGAGTTTTGTACTAACATATTGTTCCTAACCTAACAAAACAAAGTCATACCTGATTATAGGAAACTAAAAACAATTGTTTTAACCCATTCACTGTGGCTGGGACATATATTTCTCAGTGGAGTGGGAAATATACATTCCAGCCACAGCAAATGGGTTAAAGTTCTGTTGATTCACTACCAAAATGATAACACAACTAAAGCCAAGTATAAACACTGTTCAGCTGAGTGTGAGACATATTTTGGCCGTATGGTAAATAATTTGTTAAATATTTGCCTACATCTCCTACGAAGAAAATTCAAAACTAAATAAATTACTCCAATTCAGAGAGAGAATGTCTTATTGGACTGATAATAATAGGAAACTTGTTCAACTTCAAGGGCTCTGTCCTCACGTATCTCAAAAATCCTTAAAAATGCAAGACTTTGCATCTGGATCCTGTAAAAAGTTTTTAGTTGCTTTTCTAGGAAGAATTTTCTGTGTAAAAAACTCAAAACTTATCCATCTTTTTAGGATGGAAGCAGATGTAGCTATTTAGTCAATATAAAGTTGATATGAAATGGCTTGTATCAAAACCACATTTTGACATTGTTTGGCAATTGAAGATACTGCAACACTCTGAAAAATTCATCGCTTTTGGGAAGGGGATATAACAGTTCTTTCTGGTGTAAACTATTTATACATTCAGACCATAAAGTTGTGTTCAGGATTATCCTTGTACTTCATGGCATTAAAACACAAAAGAATATGGATTAAATTTGGGCACAAAGACCTTCCAGAAAGATATATAAAACAAGTAATATCCGTAAAAAAAAGTAATATCTCAGTTTGAAAAAGCAACTCAAACCACATGTACACAATTTGGTTCTATAACATATCCATTCAACTGTCGCAGGCTTTCAGCAGCTAGAAAATTAAATCGGTATTCGTGCTACTCTATATAAAGATATACTGGTCATCAAGTTACAGGATGCATCACCTATAAATTTCTTACCACTAGATTTGGGTGATTTAACGAATTACCAATAAGCAACAATTACATCAATCTGTGTCTAATAAATTAACTTAAACTAGCATTTTTGATTATTACTGTTTCCCACAATCAATTAATTAAAATTATGATTAAATCTATTGTCATAAAAATAATCTACTAATCAAGATTAGCTTCTAATCATTACTGTTTTTATTATTCCAACAATTGACTAATCAAAAATTAAGGTTTACAATTATTCCAACTATCCGACATAATGAGCTGTACTCTGCCTCATTTTAGCCTTACGTTGTTTTTTAATTCAAGTTTGTTCAACTTTGAGGGATTTGAGAAAGGATGGGGGGGGGGGGTGATTCAAAGGTCTCGGATTGGATTCACATTGCCAACAAACTTTCTTTCCATGTTATCATCATGATGAAACTACTAAGGCTCTCTGTCACTGTCACTAATTTTGAACTGCTAAGGGGAAGGCAAGTGGCTGGCAGCACCCATCACCAACTTTTTGACTGGTTGTACATATCATGGTTTGAGAAACACTGTACTACTCAATTAGTAGATATCATTAATCATCCAGCTCTACTTGCAACTACCAAAAAGGTCACAGGAAACCTGTTGTCCTTGTATTCTAAGTGGCTAGAAAATGTGTAGGGAGGAGTGGTGTGCTTTGGATATCACAGGCTTACAACAGAACTGTTTGTAATTGAAACTACGCTGCAGAGCAGTCAGATAAAGCATAATCGAATGTGGTTATATGGAGTGTAATGACATGATAAGGCTCAAAAATAGTTTTAACATAACATACGCAACCTTTATAATTTTTGTACATGTATTAAAAATGTCGAAACTGACAAAGTTTATAGCTTTGTCACAAGTTAAAACAATACTTATGTTAAATTTCTAAATAATAAAGGGTTATTCAATGGTAATATACTGCAGCTATTTAGCATTTTGAGAAAGGACCAGCATTCTTATAGTTTTGACCATAGAAAATATACTTACAAGTTGTAACTCTGAAGTGAATAAAATTCAGAGTACTCCAATCTATGGCTATATACATGTTTATGCCAGTATGGAAAAAGCCTTATATGTTACCTGATCTGTGCTGTCTTCAGTTGGGTCAGCTGGATTATAAGCTTCTTGGCCATCCTTTTTTACTTTTTTTTCATTTTTCTGCATGTTATCACCACCCGACCTTTGCCTCTTACCACGAGGCCCTCCACCTGAGCCCTGTTGTTGTGCTGGCCTTTTTCTCTGTCCTTGGTTTCTACCCCAACCCTAATAAAAAAGAAGTAAAATTATAATGATAATAAAAAACTAAAAAAAAATGTAGAAAGAAACAAACTATACTAGGTTAATATTTATATATCTTTCATACTTTACATTAGACATATAAACTTCAAAACCAAGTTTCACGAGTTACACTAATCTAAAATTATCAGTGTCAGTTTTAACAATTTAATACTGGCACTTGTCCACTCATATTTCCAAGTTTTTTTTAACCTGTTAAGAATCTTTCACACAAGAGCATAATTTTATAAAGTCTACATATATTATAGCATCAACTATTATAAATACATTATCTAAAGAAAGTATTCAAATTGTAAGTTCTTAATACAAGTCAGAGTCTCAGAGATCTTAAGTCAAAATCTGGAGCCTGTGGAAAGGACATACACTCATGTTAACACAAAAAGTCACCACATACATGAAGTTAAAACTTTTAAAGTAACCTTGTATTTTACAATCTTGAAAATACACAAATAAATATAAACTAACTCCTTTGTCTCTGTTGTTCATCCTGTTTCCTTGTCCAAACATTCCCATTCGATTGCCTCCACCTCCCATTCTGCCAACAGGTTCCATCATGTTCATTCTCTGGTTCATGCCCATTCCTCCACCACTCATACCATAATTCATACCAACACCAAATCCACCACCACCACCACTTCCTCTTTCTAACATCATCCTTTCCATGCTCATTGAACGCATGCCCATTGGGTTTCCTCCATATCCACTCATATTTCCAATTCCTGGATTCATTTGGTTCATGCCAAAGTTTGGTCCACTCTGCTGCCAAGGGCTTCCTCTGTAACCTCTGTAAGTCATTTTTCTTTAAGATAATGAGAGGACTTGAAGACAATTTCTGTGTAAGAAAGAAAAAATATCATTATATTTTTGCCAACAATTCATGTTGCATATTTCAGCTCTAGTGCAAACTGATATTTATTATACTAAAATTTTACAAAACAAGACTTCCCTGATTCTGTCATTATATACAAAGACTTAGTGTGTTCTGGTAATTTAGTTATTGCAAGCCCTTCTCAACATAAAACTATGTTTGTGGGCACTAGTGTATATATGTATGTACAATAAGTATGTATGTTTTTAGTACATCACTAAAATAAGTATTAAGTCTTTGACAAAAAATGTCAATCTTCTAGCATAGCACTAAACATCTTTTATAATTCTCCTAGTGTTGTAATCAGCTTACATATTGATTAGACACTTGTCATAAAATTCATTTTATCTAATATATTACCTTGCACCCTCAAAAAGAAGCTTTAACTCATTATCGACAGAGAAACAATAGCTGATAATGACCTACAGTTTTACCCTGTTTCAAACCCTTGTTCTATTTCACTGAACTTTCTATAAAGTAATATTTATGCAATATACCAACAGAGCATGATAAACTACATCATATGTCATATACATTATAAGTATGCAGGTTGTGTACTTGTCACTTGAAGACACAGAATACTTTGTTTGCCTAAATTCTTGAAAAAACAGTATAAATCGCATATATAGTTTTTTAAAAGCAATATATTTGTATGATTTTTTATGCACATTTGGTTACAATGGGCTTAAAACACAACTGAGCATTATCAAGCAGCTGGTTTCAAAAATATATTATTAGATTTTTTTAAATTATAAAATCTTAAATTTCAGATCAACCTTCAGTCCTACCAGTTACTTGCCTCATCATCAACAATATGCAGTGGTCTGGTTACACGTACAGAGTTATCTACTTTTGGATTTAAACACTAGTAGCTCAGCCAACAGAACACTGGTTTCAAAACACCAGTTTGAATTGATTTGCATTTACCTATTTTTGATTGGTACAGTTAAAGACATAACCATGAAATTAAGGACAAGAGTATGCTTGTGGGAACTATGGCTTATACAGATCAAGCTCCAACTTGCATGAACATTTTGAGATAGGCTCTACCAACAAACAATCAAAACTTTAGTCCTAAGCATATAACTCTACACCTGGATCATCACAGTAAGTGACACAATATCAAATTATTTTAAAATTTATTTGACCTAAGTATCAACAAAATATTAATCTTCCCTTTGCATAGTATATTATGTCTCTGCCACGTTACCTTTCACTTCCAACTTCACGTGAAGCAAAACTCATGTTTTTACTCATAGCTTAAATACTTTTTAATGTAATCATGATAGATGGACCTCTCAACAACTGTTAACTGTTTTCAGATTTTTCTGCAAAGCTACAAAAGGAGCAATCTGCCATCCCTAATTCTAAGCTGACAGACAATACGAAACACAGTAAACAAAGAGTATGGATGGAATGAAATGTTGAAATATGATATATTGCAATATTTCATAAAATGATTCAATATACATTATGTTGTCACATGACATGCAAGCACTCTCATTTCTCTCCATTTCATTTTCTATAACTTCAACTGTATGGCATCTACACTAAGTAATGTAAACACAACCTATAAGTAAGTCCAAGGTCAAACATAGTTTCAACATCTTAATTTCTCTGTTTAGGAAGATATAAATTTTCCCAACGTACGAAAGAATCTCCACCTATCTATCCTTAACCTTTAATAAAGTTTTCAAAACCATGTTCTTATTTGACCTATATGTTTGTAACCAACAGAAAGCATTTATTTTTCATATCAAGCTTGCAAAGATCCTTTTGAATTCAATGGCAATAGATTAGTCCAGCGGAAGTGACTGATGTGTGTGTATGTGTTGTAAGCAAGTTAATACTCATGGCATTAATGATTTAACCTATCTACAGCTTATTTACAGTTAATTATAATTGCCTTTGGACATTCTATTTTAACAATTTATGTATTGTTTATGTTTTAATATGCATATTTGAAAAGTACATGAAGTTTTGTTTTCACACACAACTTAGAAAAAAAAGGCTTAGCTAAATCTGCACATATGTCAGTCTATAGGAATCTTCTAAATGTGTTCTTACTGTCGTGTGTTACTTTTTTGTGATCAATAAACTGTACATTACACAAGCCAGAGAATGAAACTTTAAAATTAAAATCTATGTGAAAAGGTAATAAGTTGAAATTGAGAAAATAATTTAACTGTAGATATGGTTATAAATGATTCATTCAAAGAAAAACATGTACTGTTCATTTTATTTCATATTTTTTAACTTTTCATTTCACTGTTCATTAATAATTTGGTTTCAGTTTGTGTTAGGGTAGAGAAAATAACAGATAAAACAGAGATCTATTTTAAAAACTTTTGATATTAATTTAGAAGGTTTTAGAGATTATACAAATAAAATATGAAAACTGAGTTGAAAAGAAACATTTGTTTTTAGCACAAAAATCACCTTGCACTCAAACTGATGCAGTAAAAGATTCAGAAATTTATAAACATTATGAAGTCACACTTAGTAAATTCAAAATTCTAGTATAAAGTCCTGGGAGTTGGTACAATGGACTGAGCTGTACTACAAGGGTAGTAAATGTGTTTTTGTCTAAATGGCTCTGAGTTGATCTAAAAGCATAACAATTAATTTTAAGTCATTTAAAATAAATGTGTGAGAAGTTTTGTGCATTGTAATACACATCATATGTGACTAGTGTATCCCAATACGTATCGTATTGTGAGCGTAATGTATTATCTCACCACCACCCCACTCAAAAGTATCCACAACCTACACTTTGGCTATTATTTTTTGATCAAATAGTTGGATTTGACCATCACATCCATAGAACAATAGTGGAGGTTAAGTTTTTCTTGTGGAAATGGTTTGTGAATCATGAATATTCAGATTTACAGTCCAGGTATGGTAACCACTAGATCTCACCAAACCAAAAATCCTTTTAACAAAATGTATCTGAAATTTCTACCTGTTTGTACTATAAGCTTTACTTTTTTCAAGTTTGGTACTTTGATAATTTTTTTTTTTTTCATATTCAAATATAATTGAAATACAGGGAAATTTTGAGACAATTACATTATCTCCAACAAAGACTTAACAAAATATATTACTTAATAGTGTTATATGAATTATTAATATATATATATAAAAGGTTGGACATATTAAAAATAAAACAAAAAGGAGGATATGTCTGAGAAACAGATAAGACAGCCCATTTAAATTTGTTAATTTCATTAATGAAAATCTCGGATAACTTCAGGCCCTGACATTTGAAAAATGCATGATGGCTACAGAAAGCCCCTGCTAAACAGTAAATGAGCTGATGCTGTATCTCTATTCTTTGTTCACAAAATTGGATAATAAAGGTTAATTGGTATTTGTATATAATCTCTGGCATCTAATGAAAATAAAAGACTATGTGAGCCATATAAGAGAGACTCAAGTCACCTAAGTTTTGTCATATGAAAGTAAGTTTTACAAATATACACCAAAGCTTGGGATTCAAAATGCTTACAAGTAATTGTGAAATATAGTGGACACAATGTTATGGTCTGATGGGTAGTCTGGTATTCACAAAAGGCAGAGATGATTTTCATAAAGGAGCATCTGAATAATAAAACCAATACGGCAGTTTTAATTATTATTGTCACTATTCATGACAGAAAATCTGAGAAAATGTACAAGTTGTTTTGAAAAAGATGGTGCACCCTGCCAAAAATAAAAAGCTACTGGAAACAATAAAGAATGAAATCATTACCCTGGGTTACTCAAAGTCTGGAATTTAAAACCAATCAAACATATTTGAGAGAACTTGGATGTTTATAGCATCAACAAAATAAGCCAGCATCTGCTCATGAACTGAAAGTGATTCTGCTAGAAAATGGTGAAGTACAGATCAAACTGTTATTCAAAAGTTCATGAAATCTGTACTCAGAACATATTAAAGTATTATTACAGAAAAAGGACCAACTATGTATTGATATGTACCATTATGGCTGTTTAATTATTGATGAATAGATTTCAAGGGTTTTTTTTAAGTGCATTTTGTTCATAGCTAAAATTATATCACAATTCACTGTTTACACATCTATTTTTGGAACATTATTACTACTTGCAACTAGTTAAGCTTGGTACTAACCAAACCTATCATTGCCTAAATGATATAGAAAATATATTCACTTATCTCTTTTGATCAAGGTTCTTTGTGCAAACAGGTAAAGGCAGACATTTCTATACTGTTAATCATGTAATAAAAAATGTTTTAAGTAAGAAAATCGCTTGCTGAGGGTTAAGTTTCAACACCCAAACCTGAAATCTTACAACCAATGCATTTGCCTTTTATCATTAAACCTTCAAGCCCTGCTGTAGTACTACACTACTACTAGTAGGAAAAAACAAATTCTAAGTCACAGTGTAGTCGTAAATATATAACCCCAGACATCTGTTGTCCTTAACACAGATTACCTTTTAAACAGTAGTTCACAACCATCTTTAAGTTTAATACATTATAATTTTAATATACTTAATAAATAACGGCATAATATAGTCAACTTATAATTAATACTGCCAACAATAATGTTAACTTTCGAACCTTTTTCTTTCAAAACAACATATAATGATACATTATCTTAGATTTAATAGTCATGCGACTATGGCAGTCTTTAGGAATTACTCTGTATTACTCTTAGTATTTGTTACAACTTTCAGTTCCAATGAAAGATCAAGCGAGTAGTTAGGCCTAGGCTATATTGACAATGAAACCGTTACGTACTAAAATAGTTAAACTTAAAGCTTAACTAGAACAGTAACGCGACATACACAGTAAAATATATCCATACGTACCACGGTCTAAGACCGTGCTTGTGCTTTGAAAAATACAAATTTCAAAACTACAAGATGTTCAACTTGAAGTTCAATGGAATTTGGAAATGCGTCAGTATGAAGTAATTTAGGCCTAATGCAAAATGCAAGTCTACTCCAACTTCCAAGTTATCGTACGAAAAATGCTGAACAAATTATCATTATATACATAATTATATAATACAAGCTATAACTAAACATATAAAAAGCACAAAAATTGGTACCAAGTTAAAAAAAAGAAAAAAAAAGTTGTTCTTTTCAGTCTGTCTATAAAACACAGTCCTTTGTCCAAATTAATACCTAGAAAAAGTTAAGAAAGCTTCTATACTGCTTACTCACCAGAAGCTTTTGGCGCTACTATCGAAAAACCGGATGTCACGTGATTTTAACCCCAACAATATTATAAAAATACAACATATTTTATTTACCTAATATATAAGCGAAAGATTTACAATAATTTTATATATTATTTGTTTGTTTTTTTAATTCGCGGAAAGCTATTCAAGGACTATCTGCGCTAAATATTCCTAATTTTGAAAGAAGGCAGTTAATCAACAACACACACCGCCAATTCTTGCATAGTTGAATGATGAGATTTGATCTCCATCCTTATAACACACTCCCAAGCTCAAGTAAGAAGTGATTTGAGGGGTGAGAGCTGTAACGGAATGCAAATGACGGATTCACAAATCCATTGTCAGGCACTGAACTATTGAGCCACACTCGGCCTAAATTATATATATGTGTGTAAGAACAGTAAAGTAACACCACTTTTAAGGGCAAAAAGGAGCTGGAACACATAATTAAGGTAAGACCAAGACAGCCCTCTTCAGTAGTGAAGCTTACTGATGCTTTAAAGAAGAAGTGGAGCACAATACCACCAGCTTTATACCAAAAATTAGTAGACAATCTTCTAAGACGCATTGAAGCAGTCATCAAGGCCAAAGTCGGGCTAACACGCTATTAATTTCTTGGAATAAAGACATATTTTATTCATAACTACGCATGGCCCATGACGTTTGGTGGGATAGTGTATATATATATATATATATATATATATATATATATATATATATAAAAACTAATAAACAAACAAGTAATAATAGTAGTAACTAAGTAAAATA